AACGGTAACAATAACAATAATAATAATAATAATAATAATAATAATAATAATAATAATAATAATAATAATAATAATAATAATAATAATAATATACTCTATGCGCTCAATAATAATAATAACAATAATAATATTAATAATAATAATAATAATAATAATAATAATAATAATAATAATAATAATATACTCTATGCGCTTTACAGCACGTAGTGGGATAAATTATTAAAAGTTTCACCTTAAAAAAATAATGAATAACAATAAATATAAATATACGATTACTATGTTAATGAATAAATAATTTGGAAATACAGAATTATATTTACTTTTTTTGATCTATCTAAATGTTAAATATTTATTTTCTTATTACCTTACCTTGCGATGTCTTTTCTTCCCTTTACCTTTATTTTCTTTCATACTTACGACCTGTCTCTCTTTTCCTTTACTTCCCAGTAATTTCTTTCTTTACCTTTTCTTCTCCTACCCCTTTTGGGGATAGGTGACTGACCCATCATTAAAAAGCTTATAATGTGAGAATAAATTCTGGGATAGCATGCCCCATTTTTTAGATAATTTTATATGTTCATGGCTTTAGTGATTTTCTTTAATAAGTTTTTTTAACTGGACCTCGAGATCAATGTTTTTACACTGAGTATCCAAAATAAATACTATTAAAAATAAATAATATATTATAAAAGTCTATCGATCTATAAATCATACATTAACATAGTTGGTAAAATACTTCAAATGATACAACTTTATTAAACAAGGTACAATTAAAGCGTTACCATAAGACATCAAGATAGAAATTTATGCAATATAGGCCTAGGCCTATATGATTTCTTGTATTTGAATTTAAACCCAATTGTATTCACCAATCACACTTTTACTACCTTTTTCTAATCTTAGTTTCTTGTGTCTGTCTGGTTCCGGAATTTTTTTCATGTGTTTCGTCATGAGTTTCTGCTATTCATTTGCCTCTGATTCTATATTTATTTCGAGGCTTTCATTGAAACCTGCAATACACTTAATAATTACCAGTCTAGCACCTTGACCAAAAAGGACTTTGTTGATAAATAACACCATACTGTGTCTCTGAATTCGACTGTAGGGCATACATCATATTATAACGATTAAAGAGAGGTCCCGGGCCGACCGGGCCCCCTCTGGGAGATAAAAAGAAAATTATATTCACAATTTTAAGTATGTGAGTGCCATTTCCGGCCATCTAGACGCGTCATAATAATACATTTTCTTTCTCAGCCCCAAGGGCAACAGCATAATGTGTGTCTTAAATCGACTGTAGGACATATCATATTATATCCAGTGGCGGAATAAAGAGTTGGTAGGGGGGAGGGGGATGCTGGCCTGGAGCTGCCGGCCCGGCGCCCCACTAAATGTGCCAAAATATTTTTTAACTGGAGATGAAAAGAAAATCATATTCACAATTTTATGTCTTTGAAGTGCCATTTCCGACCATCTAAAGGTGCCATATAAATGTTCTTACCTCAGCCCCAACCATGGTGGGTCTAATGTGGTATATTCTCCAACTGTGAAAGTCCCTCCCTGGCCTCAACATCCTGGATCCATATTATATCATTTTTTCGTCGTTAAAAACATTTAGAATAACAATGTACATCTAAAATCCCACGATGGAATTGGTGACCGGGACAGAAAAAGGGCCCCCAGTTTCAGAAATACACAGGCCCCCGGCCCCGCATCGTTACGCCACTGTTTGGGACCAGGGTTTACATGGTCTCTAGCAGCTTTGGTCTTTAGAATAATAAAAAGACATTTGTTAATTTGGGACCACAGACTTATATATTAAATATGTATATAGTGTCATTACAAGGAATTAAATAAATATTTTTTACTGGACTTGTATATATATGTAATATGTATATAATTTTGTTAAATAATTAAAGTACATCTGGCGCTTCATAGTTTATATCTGGTGATATCGTTTGTATGTTTCAATCATGTGATAATTTTGCCTGCGAACAGAGCCTTAAACACCTTTTCTGTACCTTTTCTAAACGATTTATATGACTATAAACCTGCATCAAAAGAAATCATTGTTATTTGACATAATTTTGTATTGTCCCCAGATAATTGATAAAAAAATCATATAAAAAAATGTTAAAATTAACTTGCTCATTTTGCACTACAATGAAATTATTAAATTGAGCATAGAAATTATTGAATTTTGAATTAATGTGTACTTCGATTTTTATATTGGGTATGATAAAATAACGGTATTAAATATATATTTGATTTAAAGCGTGTACGCTCGCTGGTTCAGATTATCTGTATTTCATATGTTTGCAAACATATTAGTGCTAGCTCTCAAATTCAAATTTAATAGTGAATTCGTACCGAATGCAGTAAAAAAATTCCACCACCTAAAGCTTGGTAGCAGCCAGTGTTTAGGTCCTTGGATTTTGAAACACATTAGTGGGTGACAGGGTGGGCGCGAGAATAACTGATAAAAAATGCGTGTAGGGGAAGAACAAAAATCAAGGTAATTTTCATGGATTTTAAAAATCTAACTAAACAACTTTAGGTCGAGACATGAAACCATTCCTCTTTAAATTACAAACGAAATATAATGCATACAATGATATGTTTTTTTTTTTTTTGTCTTTTTTTTTTTTTTTTTTTTTTTTTTGCAGAAGACCGACAAATCTCTACTGCAAGATAAGAAGCAATAGCACTACTGTAAGTATCAAGTGAAATATACTGAAGTTATTAAATTTTATTTTTGACAGATGCACCAACAAAACCATGTGTAATGCATACAATGATATGTAATTTGTTCTTTGCAGACGACAGACATTTCTCTACTGCAAGATATATGCACTAAAAGAATCAATGGCACTGTAAGTATCAAGTTAAATATACTGAACTTAGTTTGTCTGATCTTGTTTCTTCATTCCTTCTTTAAGGATTGTTTCCCTTTGCTGTTTCTCATTCTTTATTAAATTTTATTTTTGACAGATGCAGCATCAGAGCATGATAAATGTTGCAAGACAAGAAAACCACACTGAAATTTAGTTCGAAAGAGTAATTCCGGTGAAAGACCACAATCACTTATTTGTATCTTTAATAACCAGTTACTGGATCAAGACAACTTGCATCATAATGAAATATTGATCTTATTGCAAAAAGAGGAGGAACCAGAACTATTAATTCATTTTTCTAATATAGGCCGTTTAAAGCATTTTTACTTTTCGTGAAAGTAATTCATTATACCTAATAGTTTGCACGACAATTAAGAGAAGATATTGAGACAGCTTAATCACGGTGATAGAAAACCTACAGCGATTGTATATTTATTGTATATTTATCGGAATACTGAAGTAATTCAACAAACTATTTTAATGACTTAAATAAATTATTATTAAAATTAAAAGTTATTGTAGCATCAAGACAGTTTCCATCATTGTAAAATACTGAACCAAGAGACACAATTTTCTATGATTAATTTTTTATATAGTATATATAAATTAATATTAAGATTTTGGTTGTAAAGTATTTGTAATAAAAAATATAAGCAATGTGTTAATGTGTTTCTTTGCTGGTCGTGTCGTAAGAAGCGCCCTCTAAAAGAAAAAGGACTAAGTTTTTCCATTTTCCCTCAATTTGTATTAAAGTGGTGCTGAAGAGTGCCCTCTAATAGAAAAACAAAATTTCCAGGGCCTCTAAATTTCTGTTTAATTAAAGGGTTTCCCTGTGGTGCTGGAAAGCGCCCTTTATAGCCATTTTATTTCTACGTTTTTCAAGGCCTCTTTAATTGTCAATTTCTATTACAAGAATAGTAAATTGGGCCCTCTAATAACCAGTTTTTCAGTGCCCTACAAGTGTAGAGTGGTCTTGTAGAGTTCTGAAAAACTTTGGTTTTAGATAGTGCTTTCCTCTACCATTGACAATTAAGAGACCCTAAAGAACTTAGAAGAAAAAGGCTATTGAGGGCGCTTTTCTTCACTATTTTTTCCAGAACTCCACAGACTAAAGTGGCCAAAAAACTTAGTCATATTTTGGGCCTTTTTCTTTTAGAGGGCGTTTTTTTTCCCGTTTCCTGCCTATCCAATACTGGACGCTCTAATACAGAAGAAGACAAACAATGAAGAGTATATTCAATATAAATGAATATTTATTTTAAATGCTACAATAATAAATACAATGAAAATTTATTTCAAATACTAGAACTTAATATTTCCAATATTATTCAATATTAAATGAATACAATGAACACCAGAATCGTGGAACAAACAAAGAACATTGAGCTGAGCAGATCGAGACCACTGGGTTGCTGAATTCACTGAAATAATAATAGAAAAAATATTTTTTTAAAAGGAATACATTACATTTATAAGTCTGTTGCAGAGGGAATAATAAAAGTAGACTGAGGAGTAAGTCCACTGCAGGAGGACAATAAAGCACAAACATCAGTTAGTAAGTCCATTGCAAAAAAGTTGAAAATTAATTTTTTAAGCTGCATAAAATGAAGCAATTTGGCTAAGTAGTAAGATTGTCATTGGGGTGGTCTAAATTATTGGAAGGACAATAAGCACAAACATCCAGTTTGTCCATTGCAAAAAGAAAATGTAGAAAATTAAATTTTTTAAATTTTATTTTTAAGGTGCATAAAATGAAGCAATTTTGCTACTTAAAAATAAAGTATCAACAAATTAAGTATCGATACTCATTGGGGTAGTTATTGTTCATACTACATTAATGTATTATTTTTGGTGACATTATATTTTATAATATAATTTAAATTGTAAAATTGACCAAATATGAATTATATCAATACATAACAAAACTGTTACCATTTTAGAGACTATATATACAAGTTTCCATTGGTAGAGGAAAATTGAAAAAAACACAGTTAATACCTAATTCATATTACACTAATATTTTATTGATGTCCTGAATTATGATTACTGTAATATAATTATTGTTATTATAGTTGTTATTTCTTTTATTATAGTTAAATATATATTTATTTATATTTATATATTAATGTCAAATCAACGAAAAATGTACATATTTCAATCTCTCAGATATGGTTTAACTGACTCTTTTATATATTAGTTTTATTCTCACTTAATTATAATTAGTATCAAATTTCACTTTATGTAACATTAGCATTTATGCAAATTACAATTAATTATTATACATATTAGGTTAAAATGACTCTTATCATGTGTTTATTATTATGTAATAAATAGGCAAATACATTGAATCCTTATCCACCTTGACGATTTAGTCAGCGTATGCAACGTATCAAAATTTCTCGAGAACGCTGGCATACGCTGAACTATCCATGTTTATTTTTCAACTGTGGGGGCATGTATATTCATAACGAGTTGGACATATGCATAACGTATTAGTGGGTAGCTTTCGCGGCACTTTGGTAACTGCAGCATAAATTTGGTCACTGCTGAATGAATTTGGTCACTGCTAATTGACGTTTTCCCCTGCTGCAAAGCAACTCACTGAAGGCACTTCCGGCGTTCCATAGTTTTTACTGCAATCCTTGCACACTGCGTAGCTGTTCCTGACGCAATCGGGAACGCTTACTGATTCAACTGACCAATCACCGTCGCCAAAGGAGTCGGCGATAGCGTGTGGATTTTAATGGTTTCCATCAGGGGCGGATCCAGAGATGTCCAAAAGGGCGGGGGGCGATCGACATAACACCAACCTAGGGGGTCTGGAGGCATTCCCCCACGAAATTTTTGTTTTGTAGACGCCCGGAAATAACCTCCGAGGCGTTTTGGGCGATCAATTTTTTTCTTTTTCTTTCTAACATTTTCCCCCATTTTTTATAATTTAGAAAAAAAAGTAGGGGGGGGGGGGAAGAAACCCGGGGATACTGTTGGCAACTATCGCTCACCCTACGCTTGCCGACAGTAGCCGGAAAGGTTGAACCTAGTTGAACCTTCGAGAGAGCTGTCGCCGACAGGGTGAGCGATAGTATGGAAAAATCGTTACACGCTATATTTGGTGACGCTAATTTGGTCAGATGAATCAAAGAGCATTCGTTCCCGATTGCGTCGGGGATAGCTACGCAGTGCAAGAATTGCAATGAAAACAGTGTAGTGACTGTGTAGCGACAGTGTACGGATCTCGATTTCCATAGAATCGCTTATCCTATCGGCGACAGTTGTCGGGAAGGTTGACGTCATCTGATTTGATTTGTCAAAATATGTTGTTAACGCATAACTGATAAATTGTTATGGAATCGTTCTAGTGTAAAAACTTCTCTTATTTCTTTTATTTTCTATATGAACAATTGCTTTTTAGCTTTTTTTTATCGTTATCGTTGAAGTATAAACAGGCCTTTATTCGTCTACAACGCAATCGGCAAAGGTGTCGACAGGCACCGACAAGGTGTAGGGTGAGCGATTCTATGGAAACCGAGTTTTACCAATAATTTATTCGGCGTGCGCCAGGGTATTCGCCAAATTTGTCATATGCTGGCTAAATCGTCAAAGATGACAATGCCATTACAAAATTGTAGGCCTAATGGTCATTTGGAATTTAATACTAATTAGAAAATCACTTTATATAGTTTTGGTATTGTTTTGTCATATTAATGACATAAATGAAATAATTTTATTATTTTGATCTCTCCAATTGTATTACCCCATTAATTATATTAATTTTCAATTAAAAGTTTATTTTTGTTAAACTTTCATAATTTATTTAAATTTATTTTAAAATAATTTAATTAGTGAATATAACAGTTTTTGTGTTGTAATATTGAAATTAAAATGTTATTCTTAGTGCTAACCAGGTAAAACGTTATCCCACAAAGCATTTTACAATGGACATGAAATTCTAATAAGAATAAGTTTTTTGACTTACCTTTCAACAAAATTAACGAGCACAAAACGAGAAAGTAACATTGTAGCCACTGGTCCACTGGAAATTTTTTACTGAAATAAAATACATACATTAATTAAAATAACATAATTAGAAGGAATTTAACATTAATATTTAAATGTGTATTAATTTTGATTACAAACATTAAATGTAAATTGTAATTATAAAATAATAATTGTGTATAGCCAATAAAAACAATACTTTATTACTATTATTATTACCACTTTTTAAATTTCAACATTAAGTCAAGTAATTAAATTTTAATGTTAATAATTACTGTAATTATATTAAGAATAAGAATTGTATAAATGTATTTTATATTAATATATATTTATACAAACGTAATAACATAATGCAACATTCTTGTACATTATCTCATTACGTTTAGATGTATCCACGGCGCAATTAAATTACTTTACGGTATGGCCAGCCAATACCAAGTACTTTTTTCCTGCCCATATTCCCGACTGTAAAATAAGGCCTATGTGGGGGAATAAATTGAACCTGGAAATTTGCCCACACACTTCGGAAAATAAAGGCTGTTTTCTGCGCAGTTGAAAATCATGTATATATTATTTTGCCCAGTGCATTGTGGTGATTCTGCGTTCCTATCGATTTTCTATGCATATTTGATCTAGTTTTTGATGTCATTCGTGCAATATAATTAAAATACAGTATGTTCCATATTGAGTGTTTCTGCATTATACAATAATCATCAGTTTAGTTTTGTAACAAACACCAAATTTCACTGATTTTAACTCATGTCCATGCCTACAGCAAAGTTTTTTAACGTAGGAAAGTTTTGTAAAATTAATGAATTATTCATAATCATTCTTATAGAACATATTTTGCGTATACAAATATGTGTCAGCCTTAATGATCAGTTGCTCTGTGCAATAGCGAGCAACCTATTGTTCAATTTAAAAAAAAATATTATATTTTGTGACAACTGAGCGGATACATTGATTAAAAAGCGCTCTTTTAATAATTTTAGATGTTGCAGTCAAGATTAGATGGGGTGGACATGCCTAATTCAATAAAGGTTTCCAGTGAGCAAAATGTCTTTGATATGAGCACTTTTAAAAAAATTCTTGTGTTGGCAACGTTTTTGAAAAATCCAAAAAATGGGTATGTCGATAGGAAAAGTTTTTTTTTTTTTTTTTACCAATGATGTGTTTATGCGTAGAAAGTAGGAAACACACAAAAATCAGTCTGGAATTAGGAACCTCGAAATTGAGACCACGGGCTAGATGTGGTCTCCATGCAGTATAATTAGCAGTGACGTAGGTGTGGGCGCACGCCTCTACAAGAATTACTCGCCCCCCCCCCCAAGTACCTCAAGGAAGTCCACTCTTTAAATGCTTAGCATACAATGGTGGCGCTACGGGAGCGGGGGGAGGGACATTTCCCCAGAAAAATTGTCCTTTTCCCCAGTTTCTTCAGTTCCCCCACATCTCAAAAAAGAAAAACCACGATTCGTCGGGAAGAAACAAAAATTATATGTATGTTCTACATATTAGTAGACTATATATAAAACGATTAAATAAGCCTCTGAAACCACTAAATTGT